CACACGGACATATATAATTGTCTCTCCCCATTTTAATCTTTTTATCAAACATTTAAAAAAAAAAAAAAAAAGAATTCAATTGGGAGTTGAAGGAATTTGAGTTCAAGATTACTATTTCATGGCTCAATATATGTCCTTTTAGCCTCCCAACTGCATAGAATCCAAACCCATGTAATATAGTGGTTGTGCAAGCACACTGCAGTCTTGTCTTGGGTAGGGTCCTCTGTACTATTGGGACCCAACTACCAAATACAGCACCGACCCTTGCATTGCACGGTTCTAATAACCGAGCCGGGACTCATTTCAATTTTTCCATCACATAAAACTATCAATTTCTTTACAGATACTTCAAATTATTTAAGCTGTCGTGGCAAATTTTTGGATTTAAATATTATAAATGAGTATGAATTTTCATAATAATAAAACAGATGACCCAAATTGTTTTCATTTTATGCTGAAAATAGAAAAAACTCGAATCCTCCAGTACAGCACTTTTCTCTGGCAAGCCTTTGGGAAGAGAAGTCGCCATCCATCAGCAACTAGGTAAGGAGCCTAAGAGAGGGGGAGAATAGGGTTTTTATGGCTCTGAATGTGTGGTTTAGTTCTAGTTCTAGATAGGTCCCCGCAAAAACCAGACTCTAACACGAGAGCTTTTCAGGGCTTTTAACTTAGATGGTGACCTTTGAAGCTCCAGCTTTTGCAAGAGGTTTCAATATTTGTTGAACAAAAGTTTCGGAAGCTTGGAGGAAAGTAATGGCAAGAAGCCAATCATATAGTTGGTATGCCGAATCTAGCAAGTAGCAGTCTCCCTATCATTATCAAGCCTTTAGAGTTCCTATTAACCTGCGACATGTTTTTGGGTCTTTGGTAGCAATGAGTTGACCAAGTAGGAAATTTCATTCAGCTTCAACTAGACGGTTGTAGACCTGAAATCAAATATAGACGTACGTTCAGGATAAGCAGATTCAGACTTGTTACCAAGTTGAGAATGAGGGGAGACTCTTTCATGCACATCTATACATGCATGCCAACGTTTATAACATCAAGTTTGTAAGATCTGATTCAAAATTTCTTTCATTTCTCTATTTTAATAGATTGAAAATATAAAATTTATATTTTTATACTAAAAAACAATATATTTAAATTTAATTTTTTTATTAATATATTTTAACAATTCAAAAAATATATGGTCCTTGTTTTTTGGTTGTAGTAAACGCACCACCAACCAAGTACAAATGTTATATCTTCATTTATGTTGTGTTTTAGGTTGATGAACATGAATATATAGTCTTTTTTTTGGACTTGATATTCAGTTTCTTCTTCTTCTTTGTATGGTAATCATTTATAATCCTTTCGTTATTTTATACAACTTCTCCGTTTAGTTTATGCTCTGGAAAAAGATCAAACTGTATTATGTTTTTCCAAAATATGTAAACTGTAGAAATGGACTTTCTATTATAAGTGTAAACTGAAGAGTATCCGGGTTAGTACCCAAATGCGCAATTAACCATATATATATATATATATTATATATATGAAGAGCTAAGGAGAGCGATTTACACATCATAATCGGAGTGACTTCACGCTCTCCAAGTTACAGAAATACCTAAATGTTGCTTTAAACTACATGATGCCGCTCTGAGCTTTAGCTAATAATGCTCACAGTTTTAAGACAAAGTAAAATTGACATTATGGATGCTCTTCCAGATTATGCTAAATATATTATGGCAGATGAGTCTAGATATTATTCACTATATTGAGGGTTTTCGAAAGGACTCATCTGTGCAAAAAGGTAAAACCACTAGCCGTGCGGCTTTATTTAATTAAACCATTTGACCAAGCTTAATTAGGGCAAACAGCCTATTAAAGATCAAATAATTTTTTTAGATTTTGCCACATGCATGTGTAACAGACCATGGTGATGGACCGTTCACCCGAGCGCGCCGCGATGCGAGGCAGAGTCGGAGGAGGCATCCTGGTGATGCGGGAGACCCGACTCAGAGAGGGAAATGAGACGCCAACCGGGAGCATGGCGGCCAACGAGAGAGTCGGAACCGGGAATGATGGGGGAGAATGTTTTGAAGGTGATCCAGGCATCGAGGCAAGGTCATCCAGGAACCATCAAGGGAGATGGATCGGGGACAGCCACCGGGAAGCAGTCAAGGCGCGGAGCAGTGGACCACTGGAGCGCCCGAGGGGCATTGTGCCGCGCCACGGGGCGCGGCGCGCTCCAGACAATGGCCAAGACAGGGAAGCTTCCAGAGACGCGGCTGACGTGGCAGACTGGTCGCTGACGTGGCAAACGGTGCAGACATGGCATGACAGATCAGCTGTCAGCTCAGATAACAGCTTGGACGGACACACGCAGGACACGCGGCAGCACACGCCAGGAACGCGGGCGACACACACAGAAGTGTGCCAGGAGCGAGCCGCGCCCCTGGCCGCGGCGCGCCCAGGCGCGTGGCGCCCACGCTGAGCGCTGCGCCACGGGGCGCAGCGCGTGCAGGCGCGTGGCGCGTCGCACCCCGAGGCGCAGCGCGACCCTTCCAGGCGCGCCCGAGTCTTCTGGAATGCTGCATTATTTACAAAATTGCCAATGACTTCCTCTATAAATAGGGGCCTCCCCCTCCCATTTGTAGCATGCAATTCAAGCCTTAAGCAATAAAGCTCTCCTTCCTTTCTGTCTCTAGAATTGTCTCTCATTCTCTCTCTTGAGCAATATTGTGAGTTTGAGGGCTTTGTGAGGAAATGGCTTTTGGGGTGACCAATCTAAGGGCTTGGTGAGAGTGAGGGTTGAGTGAGTGGCCTTTGGGAACACCTTCCTAAAGGCCCTTCTAGTGAGAGAGTGAGCTTGGAGTGTTTGGTGAGGGAGTGCTTGAGGTGTTGAGTGCTAAGGCTAGACTAGAAGCCTTACCCTCTCTTGTGATAAGAGTAAGAGTGGTTGGCTTGCTAGTGTACCGCACGAGGGTTTGGGTTGGTTTTAGCTCTTAAGTAGCTTGGGCCTCCCGAACGTCGTGACACATGCAGATTATGTACAATACTTAATTATTACTTGTCTAGCGATATATACATACATATATATATATATTACTAATTAATTCAAGCTCTCTAAAAGGTCTAATGCTTCATTTTGTTAAGTAGCAAGATGATGGTTATCAACCTTGCTACGGCTATTTGACTGGTTCAACAGCCATGGATGTGGCTTCTGCCTTCTCCACGCTAGCAACTGCCCTTCTGTGTTATATATAATAATAAAATGTGCATTATACCTTATAAATTTATTTTATAGTTAGCAACTTGATTTATATATAGTATTATCTTATGAAGATAATTGTATTTTTTTTCAATCTAATACATTTTCTGTGTTTTCTTTTTATTTGGGGGAGGATAACGTGCTTATGCCAACCCCAAAAGGGATAAATTTTTCTTTTTTTGTTTCTTTTAATTGTATCATTTTTTTGCAGTGTTTAACTTGCATTATTTATCATTTTAACCCTCACTAATTGTGTTAGTGAAAAATAGATGAAGAGCCAAACTGGTCGAGCGATACAGACACATGCTAATCAATCTTTAATGGGTAGTTATTATTCATTAATTTCTCATTACCATCAAGCTATTCTGGGAATATTAATCAACCCAGAGGATCTTTTTGTCTCCTTCGACATGAACTAAGTGGAGGAGTGAACTGACTGTTAAGTGGAGTAAGAAGAGATCTGTTGAAAAGAAGATGGACTGCTGGAGAGTTGGAAGCTAAATTGTTTTAATAATGTGGAGAAGCAAAGCACAGCTCCACTGGACAACATACGATTTACTTGACTCATTATTTTACACAAGGAAACAAATAAAATAATTCAGGGAATTGTTTGTCCACTTCCCAAACATGATCTTCGATAACGCTTTCTCAGCTGCTTGCTTTAAAAAACACTTTTCCTTCAAATACGGCTGCAACCGGAGAAGAAAAATTGACCCCCAATCTATGGTCTGCAATTATTTGGATATGGACAAGAAAGGGCCTAGCCTCTTCATGCTACATAAATGGATTGAAGGTGTTCTCCACATCCTTGTCCTACACACAAAAAAGCCAGCTGTTAGGAATTTCAACATTGTTTTTTATAAGCACTTGTTTGTTCACATGAACAAATTTTGTTTATGTAATTGTAACATTAATAACGTTATTATCTTTCCATGAACCCCATGCCAGAAGTCACATGGAGTCGCCTGCGGGACCCAAAATGTGCAAGAAATATTTGGGCAAACCATAGATGACAAGTAGAAAGTCCCTTGACTTTTTGTTTAAAGCATTAAAAAATTATAAAGCCGTATAATATAAACAAGTTTTGCCTTTCTGTAGTGCTCTCAGTGGGCAGTGAAGTAATTACAATTTCAGAAATTGATAGACACGTTTTTAAAAAAAAAAAAAAAAAACAGAGAAGGCCAATAAATGTTTGGGTTGGAAAGTATTGCATTGGAGAGGAAATGGAAAGGGAGGTAAAACTCAATAGCAGGACAGTTTTGCCCCCGTGGTTGACCGCAAGTACCAGTGACAACTCTGTTTGGATGCTCAAAAATTCACAAATGTCAGTTCTACAATTTGCATTCATACCCACCTCTAGCCATCCACCAAAAACTCTTGTTCAAAGAATAGTTTAAAGAAAAAACTGAAACATATCCATGAGAGAGAGAGAGAGAGAGATTTCGCTTGGAAACTTTTATTTATCTTGTATCAGTAAGTTAGAACACCTTCCAAACAGTCTCGCAGTGCCACAATTGATGGCTCCTTTTGCCAAGCCGCTTTACCTCCCTGTCTCAGCGCCCAATGCCCTGCCTCCATGCCTCCCTCCCTCTCTCCTTCCACGTTATGATTTAAATTAAACTTTTACAGAATTAAAAATAAATAAATTAAAGCCCTCCAAAAAATTAGAAAAGAAGAATGAGAGAGAATCAGGACTAACAAACTCTGCAGAAAGAGTGTGTGTGAGAGCTGGAAATAGCTGGAAAACCTACTCCTCCAAGAAGCGCCTCACGCCCTTCACGCTTGGTTCCACCACTATCCTTTCCCAAATATCTGACGCTCTAGCCGAATCTGAGCCGTCCAAGCCCATCGCTGCCCTGAAAGCATCCGTGGCGTCCACTCGCCTCATATCCCATCCACCACTCCTAAGCCGTTCGATCTTTCCTACCTGCCTCTTCGCCAGCTCACACGTGTTCTCCTTTATCGCCCTTATTGCCTCCTCGTATACACTGCCCCCTACCGGATCCCGCCTCCAGTTATTCCCCTCCGTCCGCATCGTGCTACCGAACCGCCTGAAATAAGGCTCGAACTCTGGAACGCCGATTGCCTTCCTCAACCCAGCCCGACCCGTGGAGTCCGACTCGCGGAACCCCTCCAAGGCAAAATATTCTGCTAGCTCTTCCACCATGCCCAGCTCCAGCATGTCATCAACCCGTTTATCCAAATACTGATTCAGAACGGGCATGGCAACGTCGACCCAGAGGAAGCAGCAGTTGTACCTCAGCTCCGGGAAAACCGGGTCGGGTTTCGACGGCCGGAAGACATCCGACTCCGGGTCGAACCGTTTGGCTAGTAGGCTGTAGATGAAAGAGTTCGACCCGCCGACGAGAAGGGGGAGCTTCCGCCGGCTGGCGACGCCGGATATGGCATCGGCGGCGGCGGACCGGTAGTGAAGAGGTGTGAACTCCGGGTGGATAGAGGGGTCGACCTCACCAAGGAGGTGGTGGGGAACGCCGCGGCGGTCGGGCATTGGGATCTTGTTGGTGGTGATGTTGAGACCACGGTAAACCTGGATTTTGTCGGAGTTGATGATCTCTGAGGGGAAGAACCGGGTCGCGAGGTCGATTGAGAGCCGGGATTTACCGGACCCAGTTGCGCCCATTATCACCACAATCTTCCGGTGGTAGTGGTGGTGATGGTGATAGTGGTAGTAGTGGTGGTAGCGGCAGTGCCGGCGATTAGTGGCGATAGTGGAGCAGGCCGCGTGGGGCAGGGAGGCAGGGGAAGCCAGTTTTGGGAGAGAGAGGAGTTTATTGGAGCAATATTGGCGACTAGTCTGCAATAGGGATGGTAGTCTCATAAGGAAGAGGAACAGTGTGGGTTTGGGGAAAGGCGTTCGTTCTATCTCTCTATTTCTCTCAGCTGGATTTGCTTGTCTTTGTCCTGTAAGAGCAACCCTCTGAATCCGATGATGCGCCTATCATTTCGTCATACCACAACGTTCTCCTATATATATATCTCTCTCTCTCTGCGGTTTTTGTTCATATAAGCCTTTGAACCGTGAACCGGTCCGGAACGGACCGTTAATATCCGGTCCGGTCCGGTTCTGAACCGTGAAGGTTCGCGATCCGGTTAAGGTTCACATTTTTTTTGAACTTGAACCAGAACCGGACTGGAACTGTGAACGAACCGGATGAACCGGAACCGGAAATAAACCGTGAACCGGAACCGTGTATGAACCGTGAACTGGAACTGAAAATGAACCGTGAACCGTGGACCGTGTACGAACCGTGAACTGGAACCGTGAATGAACCGTGAACCGAAATCAGTAATGAACCGTGAACTGTGAACCGTGAACCGGAACCGTGATGAATCATAAAATATTTAGTATTTTAAAAGTTTAATTTTTATTATTTAAAATATTTTTATTTTTCATTTAAAGTTAAAATGAAATACATTGTACATAGGGGTATGCAAAACCAAACTAATTTTTAAAATTTGGTTTGGTGTTTTTAAATTTAGTTTGGTTTGGTTTGGATTAAAAAAATAATTCAAATTTATGGTTTGGTTTGGTTTAAAAACCAAACTAAACCATTCTAAACTAAAAACTAAAATTTTAAAAATATTTTTGTTTCATAAAAAAATACACACACACGTTCATATATTTATATGAACATATATGTGTGTGTACACAAACACACATACATACATATGTACTTATATAAAACACACATATGTATAAATTTTATCCACTCGTATAAATATAAATATATATACATATACATATATTTATATTATATATAAATATATACATATATACACACACACACACACATGTAAATATATATATGTATGCATGTACGTATGTGTACATATATAAATAGGTAAATATATGTATTTACGTATTTATGCATACACACACACAAACACATATATATTTCTATATTTTTATGAATATATATACATATACACGAATATATATGTTATGTATATATATAGAAATATATATACATGTAACATATATATACATATGCATACTGAAATTTTAAATTTAGTTTGGTTTGATTTATAATTAAATTAGATTAATTGGTTTCTAAAATATTAAAACAAAAAAATCAAACTCAATTATCAAAAACCAAACCAATATTATGGTTTATATATACCCATATGTATGTGTACATATTCACGCATACATATATATTTTTATGTTTATATGAGTATACACACACACACACACACACACATGAATATATACATATATGTATGTATGTATGTATATACAAGTATATACACACACACATACATATACTTGCATATATATACATATTTGATAATAAATAATTTATTTTAAAGTATTAAAACAAAAAAAATTTATCAAAAATCAAATCAAAATTGTGGTTTGCACACTCCTAATTATATGTAAAAAAATGTTAGAAGAGTTATGAGTTCCATCTATTAGTTAATAAATTAAAGTAGCTAATTTATATATATACAAAAGGAAAATTTATTTTTCAATGTTTAATAGTTTAAATAAATTAGAAAATAGATTATTTAAAAATTTTCAAATGATTTATAAGTTAATAAATAATTTTTTTTGGTAAAATCAAATTGGAACCGAATTGAACCGTGGATGAACCGAAATTGAATCGAACCGTGAACAAACCAGAAATCGAACCGTGAACAAACCGGGAACCGAACCGTGAACGAACCGAGAAACGAACCGTGAACGAACCAGAAACCAAACCACGAATCGAACCGTAAACGAACCGGGAACGAACCGGAACCGGAACTGTGAACGAACCGGCTCGGAATCGGCATGAATTGTAACCGGAACCGGACCAGCTTTCAAGGTTCCGGTCTCGGTTCACATTTTTTCGAGACCGAAACCGGCGGTCCGATTCCGGTCCGGGCCGGTTCAAGGCCCGTGAACAGGCCTACATATACCCTTCATAGGCGTCCTTGTTTTCTCTCTTTTGTGGAACGTATGGAAATATGTGAGATAGATTTTGGGTTGGACGACGATGTATGAAACGACAAGGAGCGATATGGAGCATACAAGCAGCAACTGAATGAAGAGCTCCAATTTATTGTGTTGGATAACTTCTTTTTTTTTTGACTTATTTGCATTTTGCATCCTCAAATTAGGGGGTTTTGGCACTTTGTACCCCATAATTTTAAATTTAGCACTTTGCACATCAAAAAAATAGTTTTTAACACTTTGCACCCCAAAATTTTAAATTTGGCACTTTTCACCCTAAAATTTTTTAAAATTACAAAAATGCACCCTATCTTTAATTATTTATTAAAATTAAAGATAAATTTAAAATTTCATGTAAATGAAGAGTAAAAAAATCATAAATGATACAAACCTTTCATTTTTTTTGTTAGTTTCACTCTATTTAATAAACTTCTACTAAATTTATATACATATTAACGACATGTAAAAAATTAAAAAATTTGGTACTGTTTAAAATTTTAAAACTAAAAATAAAATTTTGATAAAAAAATATAAAAAATATTTGAAGTGGCTACAAATTAATAACTAATAATTATTTATACATAAAATACTAAATAAATTAAGAATTACAATAACTACTTCAAATAATTATTTTTCTATAAAATATCTAGACAAATTAAGAAATAAAATAGCTATTTCAAATATTTTTTATATTTTTTATCAAAACTTTATTTTTAAATTTAAATTTTTAAAATTTTAAATAATACTAATTTTTTTAATTTTTTACATACTGTTAATATGTGTATAAATTGAGTGAAAACTTATTAAATAGAGTAGAAATAACAAAAATAAATGAAAAGTTTAAATCCTTTATGATCTTTTTACTCTTTATTTATATGAAATTCTAAATTTATCCTCAGTTTTAATAGGTAATCAAAAAAATAGTGCACTTTTTGTAATTTTGAGAGGTTTTGGGCCTAAATTTAAAATTTTAGAGTGCAAAATGTCAAAAAACCAAAATTTTTGGGGTGCAAAGTGCCAAATTTAAAATTTTAGAGTGTAAAATGTTAAAAACTACTATTTTTAGAGTGCAAAGTGCTAAATTTAAAATTATGGGGTGTAAAATACAAAAATTCCCTATTTGAAGGGGTACAAAGTGCAAAGTGCAAATGAATCCTTTTTTTTCCCCCCTAAAATGAGACTGGGGAATGATTTTCTTTGATGGTTGCATTTCAACCTTCCATGTAATTTCCATCCGAACGCAGAGGGAAAACAAAAAATATGTCCCATGTCAACAAAGACCAGCTGCTAAACATAAAACTTCACAAATCAATGGGTAAGTCACCATTAAATTTCCATAATAGAAACTTATAAATACGTAGACCTGTACTCTCATCGAAATTTCGTACAGAGTGATACAAATGATTATTTGTCATCTACATGTTCCGAAATTTCATACAGAGTAATGCAGATGATTATTTCTCATCTAAACGTCCTTTATTTTTCAAATAAAAAAATTGAAAAAACGGTGTCGTTTATTGTCGGCCCTCTATTTGAGAATATAAAATTGCATGTATTTGCTTTATATTACTAGAATATCATCATCATGTAATCACGCAATGAACTTTACATGAAAATTCTTATCCCCACAGTGACAATTGCCTCGATTGGGTGCGAATTCCATTTTCAAAAATGTCTCTAAAATTTTATGAAATTGATGTAAAATAATTTCTAAATTTTATTCAATTTTTCATTCTGGACAAAAGCAGGGCTCCGTATATTTATTTCTAAGTAACAAAATAAATTATCCCTTGTTCATGCGGGTATAAAATTGCTCTTAACCCTTTATTTTTCAATTCTTTATTTTGTTGTAAACCAAAATATATATATATATATATATTTTTTTTTTTACATGGATCAGAAGGAATTAGATGCCAATTTATTTTGTTTATTAATTGAGTATTGCAACAGCATTATGTGACATAAAAACTACCCATAAACAAGTGGTCGTGTCGGCAAACGCAGTTTAAGCTTTAAAACCTTCTTCTTTTCTTATTTTTACAAGAAAAATTTATTGTGAAAAATGATAACGATGAGCACACCACCCTTTTTAGTCAACATGTGGACATCCTATTTAGTCAATTTAAGCATCATTTGGAATCATATGAAAACACTTTTCGTGTTTTAAAAAACTTTGGTTTGTGGTATCACTTTTCTTAAAAACGAAAGTCGAAAGCAAAGTTAGGCTTTTGGCGGAGAGAAATCATTAAATCTATTTAAACCCGAATGGAGGGTAGTTAAATGTCACAAGGCTACACTCCACTATCCCAATTTTCTATAATTAAAAAAACCAAAAACAAAAACAAAAGAGAAGATTGCTAACCTTACGGGTGTTGGATGTTATTTGGTATTAGATTTGAGTTTCTAATTACGCATTTGGACACGCGATATAATGTTTTTTATTTCTGCCTATCATCAAAAACTACAAAAGTGAAATAAGTAGTTTAAAAGCCTTCATTAAACGGAGGAGCTTAGGTCATATCATCTAGTTTCACCTTATTAGAAGCTTTTTTAATTACCTCTGCCACCAGGAAAGTCGATCTGAGGTAGTAAGAAAGCTCAAGTAATATTCTTTGAACTTGTACGTTTTTGTCATTAGCTCCGAGACCCTTCCTGTCTTCGGCGGGGAGAATTTCGTGGAGAAACCGTCGTGAAAAATTAAGCGGCCAACCCTCGCCACCCCACCAAAATAAAGTTTTGTCGTGCTTCGGAGGACACCTTGCATGTTAAATGGTATTTGCATATGTCTATCTCAATTGAACTGGTCAAAAAGGATATATCTTCCTCTTCAATGTTTTCTTTCCGAAAGGTTCGGCTTTCACATGGGGTTTGAACATTCACAT